AAAACTAGTAATCAACTTTAAAAAAATGCACATCCGCCGTACATTGTTACAATGTTTTCGCAGAAACCCCAAGACGGTATAAGTATACAATTTCGAATTTTTCTTTACCTACGGCAAAATTGGTTCTTCTTCGTAGGTTAGCATCGACTAGATCACTGCAGATGGTTAGGAAATATCATACGACCGTAATTCTATTTTTGCAACTAATACACATAGTTACATTTCGTTTTCTTCAAAAAAATAAAACTATATAGGTATATAAGTTAAACGCTACGTCTTTGCGATGTCGCTATGTAAAGGGTTTGATTCTTTGGTTTGATTTTTTAGTTTTACGTCATCCGACCGTAGTTGTAGTTATTATTATCTTTAATATCGTTACAGACATCATAAACCGGGCGGACGACAAGTGCAAGGCAGCGTTTCAGAGTAGCTTTAACACTTGCAAAAACTCTGTACACTGGTCCGTGAATTGGGCTCTTTGCTGGCCCATGCAAGTCACTTTCGTCTGCAACCTTGCACCACGTRAGTACAGCTTTGGATAAAATTTCGAATTTTTTTTTATCCCTATCGGTTATATTGACTTACAACCCTACGCCGTAACTAAGAAACACAAAACCTAGTTAGGTAAAATAAATATAATAATTATTATTATGTGTTAATTACGTATAATTMATTACGTAATTACGTGTTTCATTGTCTATTGTCTGTAACAACGCGCTGTTTAAACTGTCTATATTCTTGGAGCTCAACAACTATGGTACATCTGAATTTGGTGTGTATATGGTATATACACGGTAGACTTTTTATTCTATTTCCTGGGCCGATAGACCACTGGGTATTTGCCATTTGATGTATATTATATTTTTGAGTACCTATTGTATTAATATTATACTTAAATTAACTAAAAAWTTTGACCCGTGTTATAAGCTAATTATTTTAATAATCAATTCAGAAAAAAATTTCAATTCAATCTATAATTTATGGTCAGTTATATAAATTTGARACTCAGCGAAATCAAAATTTAATTAATAATTTTCMTGAKAAATCGRTAAATCGACAATACTATGGCATACCTAATACCCATACATTTTTGAGAGGGTGGGTTAGTATACTTCAAACCTAAAACTAAACAGATTGCATATAAATATGATTTGGTAGTTGCGAACCTATATAGTGAATATATTATATAACTATAACATTATTCCTTGGTACGTATTAAATAAGTTGGTATTTATTACTTGTATTTAATATAAGCTCATTTAATAACAAGGAAGAATATTTAAGTAGAACTAATTTTTTTTTTTTTAATAATTAAGTACCTACTTAATTATTAACAGTATCTAATACACRACGTCACAAGTGTCTGATAATATATATGCTAAGAACTAGCTTCAAGCACATAGTATTACAATTTAAATTATTTATACTAAAAAGTTGTTAAGAGTAATTTTACCCATTTATATTGTGTTCTATCTATTCACGTTTGGAATGATCCAATTTTACTCTGTAATTTTTAATAATATTAACCTATTAAAAAATGTTCAAAGTAAAATATTAAAAGAATTAGTTTTGAAATTTCAAGGAGAGTCCGGAAACAAATGTACAACCCGATTGTAATATCCAGGCGATCATTATATACTTACACTATAACACCATATTAATGTGTTATCGTGACGCAGTGTTTGGYGGCGGAGACGTGTGCAATTCCGGGAAGTCGGTAAATTCCGGTTTTGGCAAGGGATACGTGTTCCTGACAAAGTCCAAGGACGAATTAAAACGAGAATTCCTACACGTAAAAGTCAATTACAAGTTGAACAAAGTGAAAATAATGGTAATGTCCACACATTCGGTTAGACCATAATTCTATATAGGGCAGGTGACTTACGCGGCTCATCTATTTTATAAGCGTCACGCCGCCCGTCATCGTCAGGAGGCAAGTCAAGTTGTGTTCTAGTTATTTTTAGGTGTAATCAAATTACATTTTTAATTGATTTCTCTCGTATAAAACTTGTTTTACGCTGCTACCACAGTCATTTTTTAAACGAGGTATAAATATATACATATATGTAACTATCTATTTATAAATATTTAAATTAAGAGAAGATAAAATGTAATTTTACAAGCAAACCACATATGGTGGAGTTTAGGAGTGGCGATGTTGTTACACATCTTTTCAATCCAGCTTTTTTAGCAAATATTATTAGCACTTGGGTCTTTATAATATGCTGTCAGCACTTTATTTAAACAAGGATCACGTTTATCGTTCGATCGACGTTGATAATAATAATATGTTACAATGTATAATTTTTGTGGAACAAACATGGTTTGATAGACAATAGTAATACTACTGGCAACGCTTAAGAACTTCTCACTTGCTAACTCGGAATAGTTTAGATCAAAAATAAGTACACCGAATTGTTATGAAAAAACAATCCAAATAATTCACACTGTAAATGAACAAAAATTAAGCGTTTAATCTTGTGAACGAGAACTAAATGCCATAGTCTGGGGAATTTTTGAATATCCAACTCTGCGTAGCGTTATCGCACAAACAGTCTACAAAATTTTGGTTAAATTAAACAAATTATAATCACATTCGTCCTACCGACCGCTGTCCATCGGCAACAATTATAATAATAAAAAACTATTTCAAGCCGTCCGATCAATTTTTCATGTTGTGAGCTCGGTTATTGAATGCATTATAAACTATCATCTATTATCTTTTTTTTTTTTTATGTTTTATTCAATCTGTTTCAAAGGAGAACAATAAGAATAATTGATGATAGAAGCTAAGATAAAAATAAAAATAAAAATAATATATACAATGGCAGATTTGGCGGATTGTAAAGGCCTCCCAGTGGAGGTACTACGACATGAGTGAGATTTTCTTAGGCTAGGTTATTACTTRTTATTGTACATATATTCACTTAGGCTGGCAGGTCACGACACCACTGTCTTTTTAATCTTTTAGTTGGATTACCTGTGATAGAAACAGATGATAGGTCAGAGATTAAGGGATTTGTATGGTGGGCTAGGCGGCTATTGAAACCTTTATAATGTGTTTTCGCTAATTCAGAGACATACGGAATTTTAAGGTCGGAGTGGAAGGTGTGATTAGAGACAAAGAATGGCGCTTTAAAAATTGTACGTAGAGTTTTTGATTGGAATCTTTGGATGCGGTTGATGTTGGAGATTTTGACAGCGCCGCATAGTTGGATCCCATAAGTCCAAATGGGCCTGAGTAGGAGCTTATAGATCAGGAGCTTATTAGAGAGTTTCATATGCTTAGATGTTAGAAGTGGACGGAGGAGACGGAAGCGGTCGTTAAGTGTACGGGTTTTACTAATTATGTGAGGTTTCCAGGTGAGGCGGCGATCAATAAGGATGCCGAGGTAATCATCTATTATCAAATATTATATTATTTAATTTCTTGTTATATGCATCTTTGCGTAATTTTATTGAAGCTCCGTGTTCATATTGCGCAGCCATGATGGGCTCTAAAAACGAAATCAATAAGAAACAAATATACCTACACAAGCGGTTTGCAACTAGTAACACATGTATAGGGATACCGACATTTTGTCTACATCGGATCCGAATAAATAACAACGGTTAGGTTCGGTATGGATTAACAATCAGTTGAATGGTGGGCTGGGAAGTGGAGCCRGAGATACTGATTCGTATAAAGCATCCGAGGTACAACGACGTCCCGTTGGCCGAAGAAAAACATTCGTATCATTCGTAATTCACAAAATAATTTACTGCAACGTACACATAAGGTATACCAAAGCGTATAGTGCCTATTATAMCATGTATCTATATATAAATAATAAATAATGAACTGCAGCATGTGCAAAACAAACGGAAACTTTTTATTCAAATTTTATCCATTGTTCTAAAATTTCGAACGGGCCAATAACCCAAAAGAACCGTTTCTGAATTATTCRTATCTCCATTGTCTACTGTAACATATGTAACCGATGGAACTGCGGTCGAGACGTCCGTCACGAGATTAAAATAATTAATAATTTCAACGAAATTAAGGCTAACAGYCAACAGATGTAGTGAAAGCCGATTTTTTCGKGAATGAACCTACTACATCAGTGTTATTTTCCTGTTAAGATATTTTATACATCAAAACGTRTGAATAATTATTATGAAAAACGTGTTTCAATAATTTATAATATGTTATATATTCCTTTCCATGACCACCAAATTTCATACAAATAAGTATAATATTTTCTATGGATAAGTCATTTAATTACCAGCTGTTATACCAAAGCGTAATATTATATAAAAGCTAAAAATGAACACTCATTGTTATCGGATGTCTAAAAGTTAATGTTTTTTTTTTTTACAATACTTAACACTCACTAACATTTCAATAAGTGTACCAATACTAATTAATCTATTCATCACGTTGTTTAAACTATATATAATAAATATGCATATAACACTTCAAAATAGTCTTTATTATTACATAATATTGAGATAGTAACTTAACTGTAGGATAGACAAGCTATAGTTGCTTTTGCTTTCAAAACATCACGGTCAGAGGCACCGTGGTCGTAGTAGTTTCCGGTCGCTTATCTTTTCGAGCACAAAAGAGACTGCTATTTATACAGATAAATTAATTTCGTTAAGGCGGCTCGCGGCTGTAGCAATTATAATTTATGATTTGTTACGC